CGATCCTATGAGTGATTTCAACGGAGGCCGCTCATTCATTAACGACCATTACAGAGAGACTTCTATCGAAGTTCACTCTCGATGCAACTCCATCATCGCTCGAAAACTCGCAACGGAGGGAATTTAATGCCCATCGCTAACCGGATGAAGCCCCGGAGGAAAAGAGGCGGAGGGAGGGACGGAGGCAGGAGGGAGGGAGCGTACAGGTCTCGACATCGAAGGTGGAGTTGATGGGGTGGGGAAGAGGCCACTTCCGGTCACGTGACAACACTGGACCAGCCAGCCTGCCACTTTGCTCTCTTCTTATTTTCGGCTCGTCAGACCTCCTCCTCCTCCTCCTCCTCCACCCTTCTTTCCTTCCCCTCCGCCTGCCCCACGACCACGTCTTCCTCTTCTTCTTGATTAACTCGACCGTCACGAATCGGTCACGAACACGTGAAACAGATGGCGGAACGTATTTTTCTTCTTGTTCCCGCGACCACGTGGAATTTTCAATTTATACGTCACCGGTCTCGTCGTATTCAGATACACGCAGGTTGAATTTGAAGTTTCGCTCAAGAGCGAATTGATAATCGATTACGGAGACAATGGTCGCGACAACGATCCGGAGTTGAAAAGGGTGAAAAGGGACGGAGCACGCGTGAAACAAGAAAAAAAAAAAAAGTAAAAAAATATTTGCTTACTAACTTTATTAACAATTGCCGGTATAAACCTGAATCTACTAACAATTAGATAACAACATGTGCGTCAACGCATTCCTATGGACGTAAACGAATTCGCATCAACCGGAAGTAATGGAATTTTCTCCTTCGTTTCTTTCTTTCCTTTCCTTCTCTCTCTCTCCCCCTCTCTTCCTCTCTCACACACACACACACTCTCTCTTTCTCTCTCTCTTTCTTTCTCGTTTCATCTCGTCGTCACGCGATATATTGTGTCATTATCAAAGGTGCGATTGAAAAAAGATCTCGTTTTCAGTTTGAGGCGAATTTGTATATCGATCGTCCATGA